TGTCAGTATTTGAATGTATTCCAAGTACCATTAAGTATTTTAAAAACAAAAAAATTTTGACTTTCGTCCAGCTAGATCTGCTATCCGAACCACTGTGCAACGGCCTCAATAGCGATGACGGGTAACTATCTTTGGCTCCAGGGGCGGTCACGATGAGGCGGTCCCAATACCGAAGGAGGCGGTAGCGGCCCTAACTTGCGGAGACGGAGGAAGCAGCGCTCCTGTATCGCGGTGATTACTGCAATCGGCTGACGGGAGGGGCGTGATGATGGCTTCGGCCTAGGGCGGCAACGGCGGTGGCCTCCAATGACGGTGATTTGTAGCGGCCTACGGATACTGATTAGTGGACCCTAAGCACACACCTGTGTCGCCCCTCGTAGTTGCACACTAACGATGTAGGTGCGGAATGGTTGGCGGCACGTGTGAGTGCGATCTTCCACGACGGCCTTGGGACCTGTACGAGGGGAGTACATCGTTGAAAATAGCAACGACAACGTCTACAAAGTGTGACGATGCATCTACACTCTGTGACGACCCCTCCTACAGTCCCCTCGGCCATGTGGCGTTCTGCGTAAGCGATAGGATTGCGCTCATCTGCCAAAAGGCGACGTACGCGCTCCCTTACCTACGGAGACTGAAAGCGCAGTTAGTCAACGACGTAGCGTAAACGTAGGTTGACGTACGTAGCAGCATATCAAATTTACTGTTGATGGAGAGAGAAAGAAGCAACGGCAACGTCACCGCCATGCGGTTGTGAGTTTTCGTTAACACGCGAATCCCATAAGGTAGATCGTGTCTGCGTCAACCTACGTCTACGTTACGTCGTTGACTGTTTGAGCTTTGATAGCGGATGATCACTTGTAGAGAACCCTATACCCGTCGTCGCACAAGTCGGTTGCGAAGTAAGACGAGCTGAAAAAGTTTTAAAAGTTTTTGCGCAAGTGCCCAACGAACTTCCCACGTATGTTCGGGCGCGTGCCTGCTTGTGCTTTGCTTTTGCGTACTCTGTTTTTAGCGCATGCCTGCTTGTGCTTTGCTTTTGCGTATTCTATTTTTAGCGCATGCTGGTGTGTGTGTGTATGTGCGCTGTGAATATTCTACCCATATGTATGTACATCGTATGCATGATTCAATAATTGAAGGTTTGCTCATTAGTGATATTAGAGTTTTGACACTCCCTTAGCTCCTTTACAAAAGCTTTGCACACACACACGAACGCACACACAGTGCCTTGCTAAGGGAGCCGATTTTGTCAAGAGGGAGCGAGAAAACTGTTTTTGAGCAAACCTTTTATTATTGAATCATGCATCGTATGTACATGCCTGGTGTATGTGGGTAAGCATATCATATATTCATACATATTTACAACTTAGGATAGATTTGTGGTAGGTTGTGGCTGCAAATATTGTAGCGTAGTGAATGCTACTGTGGCGAATACTGCGGCAACACAAAGCGAACAAAGAGAAATAGGCAGAATATTCGAGGAATGATGTAGAATGTTCCACAAAGAGAAACGTCAAGTTGGATGAACACTTCAGAATGTTCTAGAGTTGCCATAAGTGCCAGCGCAGGTATATAAGGGCGCCGCAACAGCGGAGTTGAGTTAGTTACGAGTTACAAGTCAGCAAGCTACAAGTAAAGTGAGCAGAAAAGTGAGTTGCGAATAAACAAGCTATAAGTTTAATTGTGTTAACAAGTAGTAAAGCGTTGTTATTGCTTTAACAAGTATTGTAAAGTGTTTTTACTGTATTAGCAAGTATTGTAAATTGTTTGTTGTACAATAAAGTTAATTGTACTATAATTTGTTCATCGTTAGCATTTATTTCACAATCCAGCGATACGAGCCCGAGTATATTTGGGAAATCCCTCAAAGCTTCGAGGATAATCGTAACAATTGGTGTCAGAAGTGGGATTGTTAAACAAATCCTACTAAATATGGCGAAAATTCAGGACTTAAAAATTGAGGAGCTGAAACAGGGGTTGGAAAAGCGTAATTTGGCCACCTCCGGAAGAAAAGTGGAATTGTTATCCCGGTTGCGAGAGGCTATGGAAGCTGAAGGCATCGACGTGGACAAATACGACTTCCAAGGTAAACCCGACGATACATCCGCAAAGGACGAACAGAAGGATGAGGCTGCATGTTCGTCGAAGGATATGCAACAGACATCCGGGAAGGGTGAAGAACGGAAAAAGGCTCCTTCGTCATCAACAGTTATTGGCTGCCATGTCACAGATGATGCCAGACAGGATACACGCATGTCAGAAATGTCATCACAGCTGTCATCTCAGATGCAAACACAGTCGTCAGATGTTTCATCGCAGATACAAGCGCTGGAGACACGTATATCAGCAGCGGTATCAGAACAGATGCCATCCCAACTGGAAGCACTGGATGCAAAGATTGTACAAATACAGGAAAAAATCTAAGACAGACAGGACAAAGTCGAGGCTAAGATGGGCGAGTTAGAAGGTCGACTCCGAGACTTGCAGTTGAATCGTCCAGCCGCTTCGACGAACGCTCCCAAGGTAAAAACTCCATCCTTTGACGGCACGACTACTTTCCAGGTCTTTAAGCTCCAGTTCGAGAAGACAGCTACATCAAATCGTTTTATTATGGAGGATAAATCTGCTGCTCTGTTCGTGGCATTAAAAGGACCTGCAGCGGAAATCTTGCAGACTATTCCCGACTGTGAAAGGAACAATTATGAGGCATTGATGGGGGCCGTGGAAAGACGCTATGGTAGCGAGCACAGGCGACAGATCTACCAGATGAAGCTGGAGAATCGCTGCCAGAAATCCAACGAGACTCTACAGGAATTCGCCTCCGAGGTTTAAAGGTTGGCTCATTTGGCAATTGGAGATGCATCTGGTGAGCACCACGAAAGAGTGAAAATCCAGAGGTTCATCAACGGAATGCGGGACGTGTATACCAAACGAGAGACGTACGCGAATCCAAAGCCAACATTTGCTGAAACTGTCTCGTATGCTCAGACGCGTGCTGGCTCCAGATGTTGAAGGGTCCATATTCTCCGTCTCACAAATTGGCCGGAAAGCATACAACCTCACTGTTGGTGGATGTGTGAATGGGCAGGAGAGAGTACTGACAGTGGATACTGGGGCGACACATTCCATTATTCGACCGGATTTGGCCACTTTTTATGTGAAGCCACTACCTGGAGCAAAGCTGCAGACTGCAACTGGTGAACGCATCCAAGTGTTAGGAGAAGTACCATGCGAGGTAATAATCGACGATGTAGCCTCGTACACTAAGTTTATAGTGGCAGATATTGTGGATGAAATCATCATCGGCGTGGATTTCTTACTAGGCCAAGGCATGAAGATTGACCTCCAGAGAATGATCCTGACAGATCGTCACAGGAAAGTGCCACTTAGGGTGGGTTACGATAGCCAGTGCTGCAGCAGCCGGCTAGTCTTAGAGGAAGTGTCGAAGATTCCACCAGAAACGGAAGCGGTTAGTTGGGCGGAGGTTGGCAGTGATGGAGACGGAGTGGTTTCGTCAGGAGAAGGAAGCGGTTCACCGATACAGGAAAAGCGTGACGGTTCCGCTAGCTCAGTGAAGAAGAGGTCGCAACAAGGAAGTAGTCATGGCAAGCCAGGCTTTGTTTCCGGCAGGAGGAAAGCCGCTAAACCACGTTGCAGTGGTGATACGCCGGTGGCCGGAAATGGAAGCGGCTGTGGGAGCAGTAGGCGCGCTTTGAAGTGTCCCGAAAAAGGTGGTCGCAAAAGGCGAGCAGTTAAGCAGGAAGCCATGGGTGAGATTGTACATGTCCGGTCAATGAAGTTAGGATCGGCGGAAGAGCGAGATACGAAACGACGGCGGAAGCTTCAACGTAAGGATCCGGATGTAACAAGATGTGCTAAGGGCAGTGCAGCATGAAGGCGGGAGTCTGGGTGTCATGGACAGATGATGCGGCATAGATCTGGCGAAAAGGGCCGGCCATGGCCACGACCATGTGAGATGGTGCACTCCCGGAGATAAGCCGGAAGCAATGTCCAGTAACGCATTGTGGTTGTACATGTCGCAGCAGAAGAAAAGCCTTACCTCCAAGCAAAGACTTGACTGGAAAGATCCGTTTGACAAACGGCTGAAAGACGCAGTGCATCGAATCCAGACAATGGGGAGACCGAGGACCAAGGTGAAAGTGGTCCACTTGGAAAGACTTGCAGCGGTTGGAGCGGCAAGTGAGCTTGGTGGAGTCGGGAGAATACTGCGGCAACACAAAGTGAACAACGAGAAATAGGTAGAATGTTCGAGGAATGACGTAGAATGTTCCACAAAGATAAACGTCAAGTTGGCTGAACACTGCGAACAGCGAGAGAAAGAAAATGAGCGATGAACTTCAGATTTGTTCTAGAGTTGCCATAAGTGCCAGCGCAGGTATATAAGGGCGCCGCCACAGAGGAGTTGAGTTAGTTACGAGTTACAAGTCAGCAAGCTACAAGTAAAGTGAGCGGAGAAGTGAGTTGCGAAGAAGCAAGCTATAAGTTTAATTGTGTTAACAAGTAGTAAAGCGTTGTTATTGCTTTAGCAAGTATTTTCAAGTGTTTTTACTGTATTAGCAAGTATTGTAATTTGTTTGTTGTACAATAAAGTTAATTGTACTACAATTTGGTCATCGTTAGCATTTATTTAACGATCCAGCGATACGAGCCGAGTAAATCCCTCAAAGCTTCGAGGATAATCGTAACACTACGTTACAGCTTCCAGGTGCGTCAACTGCACTCTTCCCCTTTCTTCTCACCTCCTTCCCCATGGAAGGAGCAGACTTGAAAGAAAGACTTGACGTGTCTGAAAGCTGACTAATTTGCGTTTGTGACATTCGATACGATACTAGGGTCCTGGTACTCGATTCCAAAAAATATCGTTTTAAACTATCGACTAAAAAATATCGGTATCGAATGCCAAAAGTATCGATATGGATCGTATCGTATCGAAATTCATGTTCCTAAATATTGGTTATCGTAATCAATGGAATAATCGTGTGTCATTTGTGGAAAGCACAATTTTTCAGTTAATTAAAAGCCATAGCAAATAACTGTTCCAAATTTGACGTAGGTTGTAGATGTTCAAGTATAAAAAATATAAAAAAATATAAAAATAGATTAATTAACCCGCGCGATATCGCGATCTTTACCACGACTGCAATCGACGCACAGATGTATGTAGCCATCAACTTGTGGTTGGATGTGGTCAATTTCGATTATGACATTTAGGTTGTCATCGCGTAAAATCTGCCTTGATCCGTCTGCCTTTTGGTTACAGAAAAAATATTTAAAAGGATAAAAGAATGTTTTGTGCGTATTCACATTTGGGAAGCGTGGGTCGAAAACCTACACATAATCGTTACATACCCAGGACGAGGCCTACTGGTGAAAGGAATAGGCCCGTAGAAGCAACGTAAGCAAATTAATGCCAGATTCCAACAATGCTGCATTGCCAAAATTTTTATTATTAGTTAAAAATGAAATATAACTGCAAGATTAATGAAGATTACCCAAATATACCAAAAGGTATTTTGGTTCAAATCAAGGATTCCAGTTGGTGTGAATTTGAATTCATAAGTTGTTAAAAAAGCATAAAAAAGCAAATGTTAAAAAAAAATCGTGATTGGGTTAATTTTCTTAAAGTTTCTATAGAACTTATATTTTTTATATAGTTTGCTAAATTACAAGTATAATATCTTAGTAGGTAAAGTCGCCATGAGTAAAACAAAATTGCACAATATCGCATAGGTGCCGGAACATAATTTTTCATAAGCCCCGTTAGATGTGCTCATTTTTATCTTGTAAATGTATATGAAAACAATTGCATCTTTAACAATTTTTACACACGTTTACTGCAGATCATACCAATTCGATGTTCTAAGGGATTTGTCGCAAATTATAAGCAAGTCTCCCCGCAATGTGAGACGTATTATTGAACATAACGCAAGTTCCCGGGCTTTCTTCAACCCGCAACGTATAAACGATGTTCTATCCAGAACAAAAGCCACAATTACCGCAAATGGTATAAGTGTAAGCTTGGATGTCGGCTTACCGATGCGAAGGCGTGCCAAACACTTAATTGATATCACTTTCAGTGGCGGGGGTCTGACGAAATCAAATTTACTTGCCCCGCTAATTGGACATCAAATGTAAGGACGTATTCATCATTTTCCAGAAACTAATATTATCTTAACCCCTGCAGTGAGTTTGCGCGACACTTCAAAACTGATCGTTCGATAGATGCCGAAATGAAGAGAAATCCTACAATATTCTCTAGGCTAAAGACTGCTTTCGGTGGGAATGCACACAAAATAGAAGCTGAATTGTCTCATGCACAAGCGGACACCTTAAAAAAATTGATTCAGAAAGGTGGAGAACAGGGACCAAACAAAAATGAGGTAGCCAATACTTACTATTTTGAAATGTGGCTGTGCTAAAAGTTTTTTTAAGGTGGACAATATCAAAATAGCGTTCGCTGAAGGATATTTGGCAGCTGCAAACTCTGAAGAATCGCCAAAATCAGGGAAAACTATGAAATATCTTAAAGTGAGTATAGATTAAATTAATTAGCCATCACTATAATAAGAGATCGACAAAAATTCATTATTGTGTATTTTTTTATTTTTTATTTATACATTTTATTGAAAAAAAAAAATGAATTAATTAACTGAATCAAAATTGCCGCTGCAACCACATAAATATAGTAGCTAATATAGCAACTCAGTTGCCAGTTGCCATGTGTAATACCATTTTAGCAACTGGCAAACCAACAATCGGCCCATGAGTTTAAACAAATACTGTTATACATACCCACAGCCCTTAATATACTTTCGCGCTGGTTATCCAATGTATTTTTTTAATTCAAAATATTTTCACCGACAATTCTCTTTTATTATTCCAGTCATGCCACAGGGATTTTTTTATTGCAATAATTCGAAATCGACCAAAATCATGGTGATGCTTTTTACTGAACAAATAATTAAATAGACTCATTCAAAATTTTCGCTGCAACCACATAAATACAGTAGCTAATATAGCAACGTGAGTGCGAAGAGCTTAAAATGCTGGCCGACAGGAAGAATTCCCGAAAATTTTGCCAAAGATTTAGGCGACTTACGGAAGGTTTCAAGACCAGGAGGCAACTCTGTAATGCGATACGAAAGAGCAATGCGATGCGAAAGGCAAATACGCCGTAAGTAATATTCTGTGACGATTGCCTATCGCATCGCATTTCTCTTTCGCATCGCATTGCAAAGTAGACCACCAGTGCGTACTCCTATAAGAACAACGATGACGACCTATTTACCGATATTCAGAACATACTTAAATTATGGAGGGAACACTTTTCTATCCTACTGAATGGTAACAGCACGGAAAGTTGTGGAGAAGAAGAACCCGAGCCCCAGTCGATGATAACGGAGTCGATGTTGCACCGCCTGACTATGACGAGGTACGAATAGCAATAATGCGGTTGAAAAACAACAACGCTGCCAGCTGAGCTATTCAAGTACTGTGGCGAGGAGATTATAAGGTGCATGCATCAACTCTTATGCAGAATATAGTCAGATGAACGCATGCCCGACGACTGGAATTAAAGTGTGCTCTGCCCAATCCACAAGAAAGGTGACCCCGCCATTCGCGCCAAATACAGCGGAATCAGCCTTCTAAGCATAGGTTACAAAGTCTTATGGAGCGTATTGTGTGAAAGACTGAAGCCTACTGTAAATGAACGGATTGGGCCTTATCAGTGTGGCTTTAGGCCTGGCAAAACCACCATAGACCAGGTATTCACAATACGCCAAATCTTGGAAAAGACCCACGAGAAAAAGATCGACACTTACCACCTATTTGTCGACTTAAAACCGCTTTCGACATCACTAAAAGGAGTTGCCTATACGCCGCTATGTCTGAATTTGTCATCCCCGCCAAGCTGATACGGTTGTGTAAAATGACGCTGAGCCCGTTGGGCCGTTCACCACCAAATGGGATTTCAGACAGGGCGACTCCCTTTCATGGGACTTCTTTAATCTGATGTTGGAGAAGATAATAAGAGCTGCAGAACTGAAACGCTCAGGAACAAATTACTACAAGAGCGTGTAATTGCGGGCCTATGCCGATGACATCGACATCATCGGTAACAAAAACCGCGAAGTCTGTTCTGCCTTTTCCAAGTTGGATAGGGAAGCAAAGCAAATGGGTCTGGTGGTAAACGAGGATAAAACGAAGTATCTGCTGCCATCAAACAAACAGTCAGCACATTCGCGGCTTGGCACCCACGTCACTGGTGACTGTTATAATTTCGAAAAATTGGAGAATTTCGTTTACTTGGGAACCAGCATGAACACCGATAATAATGTCAGCATTTAAATCCAGGGCAGAATCACTTTTCCAACAGGTGATGCTTTGGACTGAGTAGGCAATTCAGGAGTAAAGTCCTCTCTCGACGTACGAAAACCACACTCTATAAGGCACGCCCGTGCTGGTATATGGCGCAGAAGCATGGACAATGACAACATCCGAGAAGACGGCTCTTGGAGTATTCGAGAGAAAGCTTTTGTGGAAGATTTATGGGCATTTACAGGTTGGCGACGGTTAGTACCGCAGACGATAAAACGATGAGCTGTATGAGCTTTACAACGACGTGGACATAGTGCAGCAAATAAAAATACAGCGGCTCCGCTGGTTTGGCCATGTCGTTCGAATGGATACTGACGCTTCAGCTCTGGAAGTATTCAACTCGGAACCCGCTGGTGGTAGCAGAGGAAGAGGGAGGCCCCCACTGAGATGGAAAGACCAGGTGGAGAAAGACTTGGCTTCACTTGGCATCTCCAATCGGCGTCAGTTGGAACAGAAAAGAAACTGGCGTGCTTTGTTGAACTCGACCAAAATCGCGCCAAATAAAAAGAAGAAGAAGATGTATTAAAATGTATGTTTGTGACCAGTGGAATTTACTTCTGGGATTAATTTTTTTATTTTCGTGTTATATGTAGGGAATTTCTTTTACTTGGGAACCAGCATTGAAATCCAATGCAAGATCACACTTAACAAAAAGTGCTTCTTTGAACTGCATTTCAGCAGTAATATCATCTCCAGACATACAAAAACCACACTCTGTAAGTCACTCTTCATGCCCGTGCTGGTATATGGCGCAGAAGCATGGACAATGACAACATACGATGTTGTTGTAGCCGCTACAACAACAACAACATACGATGAGGCGGCTCTTGGAGTATTAGAGAGAAAGATTTTGCGGAAGAATTACGGGCCTTTACGCGTTGGCGACGGCGAGTACCGCAACGGTGAGCTGTATGAGCTTTACAACGACATGGACATAGTGCAGCGAATTAAAATACAGCAGCTCCGCTGGCTTGGCCATGTCGTTCGAATGGACACCGACGCACCAGCTCTGAAAGTATTCAACTTAGAATCCGATGGTGGTAACAGAGGAAGAGGGAAGCCCCCACTGCGATGCAGAGACCAGGTGGAGAAGAACTTGGCTTCACTTGACATATGCAATCGGCGTCAGTTGCCACAGAAGAGAAACGACTGGCGTGCTTTGTTGAATTCGGATAAAATCGCTTAAGCGGTTACAGCGCCTAATAAGAAGAAGAAATTAGCAACTCAGTTGCCATTTGTCATGTGTAATACCATTTTAGCACCTGGCAATCCAATCCAACAATCGGCCCATGAGTTCGATCAAATGCTGTCATACATACCCACATCCCTTCATATAGTTTCGCGTCGGTTGCCCAGTGTATTTTTTTAATTCAAAATATTTTCACCGACAATTCTGGTTTATTATTCCAAAATCATGCCACATGGATCATTTTTTTATTGCTCACTTTGAGGATCTCCTTTTGGCTCACAAGCGAAAGGGTAGAGGAGTACAATACCAACAAATCTTTTTTTCCGAAAATATACTTAAGAGGTACTCTTTAATTTCCTCACTTATGGAGGATCCCTCTTCAAGTTTTTGTGGAACTTTATTTCGAAGGAATACTACATACATAAATACCGTAAAGACACTGCAAGATTTTATTGTTTCTTTAACTTCATTATTCAATATTTCTTTTACGTATATAAACCGTTACATGTTACACTATCATATATGTACACTTATAAAATTTACTCAAACTAAAAATGATGTGATTTTAGCTGAAAGCGTTTTTATTACATCATATTTTTAATATGAACGTTTTGGCCACCACTTTGTTGTACAAAAAAAAATGAAAAAGAATAAAAATTATAGTTTTTTTTTTTGGTTACAGGTATTCCAACAACTCTTGGTGATTGTTGTCTTCATTGGTATTTTTTTAAGCTTATTTTCGTCATCCAACGGATCTATGTTCAGGTAAATATATATATGTATGTATGTCGTCGTTTAAAGTACGACACCTGTATCGTAGTTCTGCAAAACCTCGTAACTGGTATTTGTGCCAAAAAAGTTATTTGCTTACCGGAAGCTCCTTGCATCAAGTCCATATCCATTCATACTAAAATATCGATACATAGATATAAGAAGAAGAGATAATTAGGGATAAACAAAAGAACCGCTATGAAATAAAACAAGTTTTACTCTCCTATTAAATTTGAGCAACCTCCCATAAGAGGTTTTGCATTTTCGTGATACGCGGTTGTATTCTTTAAACGACGATATATGTATGTATATGTATATAAGATGTTTTCCTGACTGTTTGACCTTATATAACTAAGTCATTCACTGCATACATTAATCTGTTCATATATGTCACTCATTTTCGTATGAAAGTAGAATACAATTGGGTAATCAAGTAGAAGTCGATCCTGAAGAGATCCATGTAACATTCGATGATGTAAAAGGCTGTGATGAAGCTAAACAAGAATTAAAAGAGGTCGTAGAGTTTCTAAAAAGTCCCGAAAAATTTTCTAATCTTGGTGGTAAACTACCGAAAGGTGTTTTACTGGTGGGACCTCCAGGCACCGGAAAAACTTTGCTTGCACGAGCTGTTGCTGGCGAAGCGAATGTTCCATTCTTCCATGCCGCTGGTCCGGAATTTGACGAGGTACTGGTGGGTCAGGGTGCAAGGCGAGTGCGTGACCTGTTTAGTAAGTTTTAATTATTTTAAAATGTGATATAAATATGTGTATATTCTATAAGCGATTTATGCACCCTTCAGAGGCGGCGAAACAGAGGGCACCTTGTGTTATTTTTATTGACGAAATCGATTCAGTTGGAGCAAAACGAACAAATTCAGTATTGCATCCATATGCGAACCAGACGATTAATCAATTATTGGCTGAAATGGACGGCTTTCATCAGAATACTGGTGTAATCGTACTAGGTGCTACAAACAGACGCGATGATCTAGATCAAGCATTGCTACGACCAGGTCGTTTTGACGTCGAGGTAAGGAAATGATTATAATGTGTGTATACCAGTGGTTAAAAATTAAATTCTACGATGCATCCATTGTAACATGTTGTTTGTTCCTAGGTTGTGGTTTCCACGCCGGATTTTACTGGCCGAAAAGAGATACTTTCATTGTATTTGACAAAAATTCTTCACGATGAAATTGACTTAGACATGTTGGCCAGAGGTACATCAGGGTTTACAGGAGCAGACTTGGAGAACATGATCAATCAAGCTGCTTTGAGGTAATTGATATTTGGTTTGTTACGATTTACAATATTATAGGTGTTTCTTGGTAGGGCCGCTATCGATGGCGCCGAAACCGTTACGATGAAGCATTTAGAAAGTGCGCGAGATAAAGTTCTCATGGGTCCCGAAAGAAAAGCTCGCCTTCCGGACGAAGAAGCAAATCTCATAACAGCCTACCATGAAGGTGGGCATGCCATTGTCGCTTATTATACCAAGGTGATAAAAAATTGTGTATATATTTACATCCATTTAATCGTAGTTTTCATAGGAGTCACATCCGTTACATAAAGTTACAATTATGCCACGCGGTCCTTCCCTGGGACACACTGCTTATATACCTGAAAAAGAACGATATCATGTGACCAAAGCACAGCTCTTAGCTATGATGGATACAATGATGGGTGGACGTGCTGCCGAGGAGTTAATATTTGGCACAGAGAAAATCACATCAGGCGCGAGTAGTGACTTAAAACAAGCTACGTCCATAGCTACTCATATGGTGAAGGATTGGGGTATGTCAGAGAGAGTGGGTCTTCGTACATTCGACAATTCGAAAGGACTTGTTGCAGCAGAATCTCTGGGTCCAAACACAGTGGAAATTGTTGACGCTGAAATAAAGCGCATTTTGAATGAAAGCTACGAACGCGCAAAAGCGATATTAAAAAAACACACCAAAGAGCATAAGGCTCTTGCTGAAGCGTTACTGAAGTATGAAACTCTTGACGCAGAAGACATAAAGGCTATAATGAATGATTCGCGTTAGCTGGGAAAGGTATAGATATATTACGAAGTAACATATTCGGTAAACATTTTAATAAATAACGGTAAATAAAGACTTATGCTTTTAAGCCAGAAACAAAAAAATATTAAATGAAGCTATATAATTTCTTTCGGAGCTGTACATATTTCTTATTTAATTTCTTATTTATGGTTACTTATTTTTGTAAAGATGGCATTTTTGAGTCTGTTACATTTTCTTGTCCAGAATATGAGTTACTATTAAAACAAGGTTGTGTTGGGTCAGAATGTAAGTGGACGGGGCTATTACTGAATGCATCTTTCTCAATGAATTCGATCAACTCTGAACGTAGCATATACTTTGAATCAGAAGAATATCGGACTCGCGTCACTCACGTGACCACACTAATAGTACGGGAGCTAGCGACGTCGTGAAAACAGGCATTTCAAGCCAGCTGGTTTTTTGATATGACATCTCTCACTCCCTCGGTTAGAGTGGGGCCATCTGGCAGGTGGTAATGGTTAAGTTGACTGCATCGTAACTTTACCGTTAAAAATGCTATTTTTTAAATCATTTTAGTAAGGCTAATTTTCTTTTCATTGGCTTTAACTAGCTTTTAGAAACATAGATTTATTATTGCCAGACATGTCCGTTTTTGCTAGCATTGTGCCAGGCGTCATTTTTTATTAAAAAAAATTTATTTTTCAACTCATTTTAGTAAAGCTCAAAATTTAATATGATGTTTAAGTACTAATGAATCCAGGGCGAATTAATATAAGGTGATAGCAGGAGTACAAAAACAAAAATTGACATGTATTTTGTTTTTGCTTTGGCGGTATAAACTATCAAAATCTGTAAGAGTGTGTGTAGAAATTCAAACAAAATTTTTCAATTTGATATCAGAAGCCGTGCGGCGAAACACATACATAAAATCAGCTGAGCTAGTAACACCACCTTATATAAAATCGCCTTGAATGAATCTAAAATTAATGTGGCAGACATTAATTCGGTTGCTAAATCAAGAGCCTGATCGATTTAAAGCTGAAAAGTACTGTGCTGGTAGTGAGGGAGATAGAAGCAAAATAGTGAATTTTCATAGGAATTTAGTATGAAAACTGGAAACTATAACTACTTATCTAACGTTATAACATACATCTAATTATTGGAATATCAAAAATTATATATACATATTTTTTCAAATACATTCGTTAAGGCAAATAAAAACTTAACACATTTCAAAATATATCAACTTGTAAAGTGTCGGAATAAAGCAAGAAAAGCAAAAGAAAAACACCAACATTTTGATATTTATAACATTTTTATATTATAATTGTGTCATAAAAAACACTGACTTACAACAAACATGCGCACTGGATGCCACTATCCAATTCCTATGCAGAATCGCTTGCTGATTCCGAAAATCGAGTATTTTTTCCATAAATAAGTTTTCGAGATATTTGCAATTTACCGTTATTCAGCTTAAAAAAAGTAGTTCCACTTAATCACGTATGTACATCTTATACGAAATGCAGCAAATGAAAGGTAGAAAAACTCTGCATAAACAGTATATATGTGCATCAGTTTTCTATAAACTTAGTTGTTTCTGAGAAATTCATTAATCATTCAAGATTTTTTTGAAAAAATTAAAAAAAGCTGTCCGGAAATTCTCTCGAAAAAACGTTGCTAGCTCTTAGACTATAATAAAACCAAATTGTTTTTTACTCTTACAGCATTTAAGGTATTATTGGTTGTTTTAGCGTTTTTAATTTAAAGCACGTTTGCTGAGTGCAAGATAAAATTTGCATGCAACTGTGCCGAAATAAATTTCCAGTACCTTTTCTGGATGTATGTACATTAGATGCCTTCTTTTGCTAAAGTATTTCAGATCCTCCCTCCGGCAGCAGAATATGAAAATAGGACGCTAAGAACCTAAAAAAATGAAAAAAGTTTAATTATTGCAAAAACTGGATGAGCTTCTCCGAAATCCATGATTTATAAGACTGTTTTTCTGTAGGTTTAGGTTCTTATATGAAAACACATTCATCTTGCACAAGAAAGAAAAAAAAGATATCTAACCTCTTGAAGAATAGGCTGCTAAGGCGAATGGCGTACTCAGTGTTTTAATACAACTAACCAGAAAGTTACCCACGCGGCCTAAAGTGACTATTTGGTACTATTTTTCACGAATTTTCAAATTTATTCGTACCCGATAGTAGTAATTTTCCAAAAATTAATATACTTAAAATTGTAGTCTTTTAATGTAGTTTTTAAGAAAGCTAACATATTTTCAATTGAATTTATTCTAACTAGTAAATTAGGTTTAAGTGAAGCCATGTTGAAAACCGCTTTCCAACTTGACAAACATCATCACAAAATTTAAAAGCAGGCGTGGATAAAACTGCCGTACTGTGGAATACTTCATCTATATTTACGACTGATAATTATTACCAAGGAACGGATTTTGAGGACCTAAAAACTTATAAAAAAGGCAAAATAAAATAACGAAATAGGCTGGAAAAGGCAATATAAAATAGCGAAAAAGGCACTAGGTATTGCAAAAAAGGCAAAACAAAATAGCGAAAAAGGCAGGAAAAGGCACTAGGTATTGCATAAAAAGGTTTAAGGCACTAAAAAAAGACAGAACATACGAAGAACAATCAAAAAATACATTTATTTTAGAAATCTTTATATTACAACTAAAAAGAGAAAAACTAGGAACTAGTTTCATTATATGAAAAATTTGTACTTTGAATCTTTTACTATTTTATCCGTTCGAGTTTCTAAAAGCTTAAACAGACGGCAGCGTTGATCAGGATTAACTCGGACTTAATTCGGATCAACCGCAGTTAATTCCCCGAGCTGATCCGGATCAACGCTGCCGTCTGTTTATGCTTTAACTCATAAAACTTTAATCTGTATAGTTGTAGTAACATTGAACCACAAGATGGATTTTGAAGGTTTCTGGCAGCATTTTCATTCGATTTTCGCGAAGAAAAGCCTTGAGCCCAATTAAAATGTGGAACGTTTGAAACGTTCATATTATCAGAAATAAGGGCGTTTTCCTCGCCCTTTACAATTTTATCCGCACCCCTCATTGTCTCCAAGCCTACGTTAGCTGAGCAAACGGCTTTGAATTTTTCCAACACCAATTTGGCAAGAGATCCCTGCGCTTCTATCAGCCGCATGGACATGTGTATATTTTTTAATTTAAAAAAAAATTGTAAATGCTATAATCACTTTTTTAAAGGTAGAAAAGGCAAATATCTTAAAAAAGGCAAAAAAAGGCAAATATCTTAAAAAAGGCAACATCAAATATGTATATAGAAGTTTCGAGCATTTCTGAAATTTACCGTTGTATGAAAAGTCGCCATAATTTTAGCCCGATTTCAATAGGTCCATTCAACATCAAAAAATTGTTACGAATTGTTACTAGTAGTAGTAGTCAAAAAGTAAGGTTATGTTTCACTTTCAAATGTAAACAAACTGTTAAATGATTTGATGAAACATAATTATTGAAATATGGATGAAAAATTTAAATCTATTGTATATTTTTTTTTATTTTTATGACGATGGGAACTATTTCCAATTAAAAATAACATTGCGCGCCAAAACTTAACCGTCAGAAAGTGTCAAAATGGCTTAAGTTGCAAGTTTTTACTAGTTTTGCGTTCAATAACTTTTTCTGAAAATTTTCACTTGCTCTCAATTTTACTCTATATTTTTTTTTACGCTCTCGCTGCAAGTACTTCCTGGAAAAGTTATTGAATGGACCTAATAATTGTCAAGGTTTTGCTTTTGTGTGGCAAGCACAATAACTGTACCGAGATTGGTACAAATTGGTAGAACGGTTACTGAGATACGTATATGTGAACATAAGAGGGCGGTGCCACGCCCATTTTCAAAATTTTATCATAGATATTTCTTAGTAATAGATTATTGCAAGCATCAATTTTGAATAAATTAGTTTTAGTATTTACTGATTTATCGAAGATTTCATATTTCTCTAAGTTACCGTTATATGGGATGTGGGCGTGGTTATTGGCCGATTTTAAAAATTTTCATCCTTTTACTATGTTGTACCAAGGCCAACAACTGTGCCAAGTTTGGGAGGGATTGGTGGAGCGGTTACCAAGATATACACATATAATCATAAGTGGACGTGGCTACGCCCATTTTCAACATTTTTTTAATTTTCCCATTTTTCGTCAAAAAATAATTTTAAATATCAATTTTGAGTGAATAATCTTTAGTAGTTACTAAAATATCGCAGTTTTCGTATTTCTGAAAACTTCCGTTATATGGAAGGTAGCTGTGATTATTCTTCGATTTTGCCCATTTTCAATACCATCCGTCCTACGGCCGAAAGAAGTGCGTGTACCAAGTTTCGTTATGATATTTAAATTTTTACTCGAGTTGTCGGGTGCACAGACGGGCGGACGGACAGACAGTCACAGCTCAATCGATTTCTCTTTTCATTCTGATAATTTATGTATACATTTGTCTATACCTAACAACCGTTATATGAACAAAGTTATAATACCCTTGTGCACAAGTGCGCTCGGGTATACAAAATTATACTTACGAACTTTAACTTCGCTGTTATGGATTTTCATACGATAGACGATAAACGCTTGCAAGCGTATCGTACGAAATCAGTTGTCGTATTATCGTTTTGATACGCCCGATAGATGTATTGCTGTGAATTGCTTTGGTTTTTGTTCACTTTTTATTGTGAACCAGCACAAATCAGCTACACTAATTATCGGGTTTCATACGACAACATCGATTCTTAATAGAGAATAACAGAATGCAAGCGTCTATCGATCTATATAGATGATGGAGACATAACTCCGAACAACATAATTGGGGTATAGATCTCCAGTGCAGACAAGTGGGAAGCAGTTGCGAGATACGTGAAATTCGTACTCCGCTGCAAACGGACGGATGTCTACTGAGGACACTCGAATGAAACGCCCCTACAAAAGAGCAGCTCCGAGGCTCTAGCAGCGCGCTCCTGCGTCTGAAGACATGCAGATTCTCGGTGCCAGTGGGCGGTGGGAGTTTGGGTTTTAGTGGGTAGCCCAACACGCTTCGGTGTCCCACACTCTGGGAAGGTAGGATAGAGACTAGCG